AGGCCTTTTCACATGTCTTTGTCTCCTCATCCCTACAAATATTTCAACAGCCTCTTCCCCTGCCTCAATTAAAAACTCATTAATTGCCTCCTGAATGTACAGAACTTGGTTGCCATGACTACTAAACAAAAACCAAAAGCAATGACAACATTTTATCAGTACTTACACTTTGGGTGATTTTTTTTTAACCATGTTCATCAATTATAAGCATTTTGATTGTTTTATGTTTTCAGTATCTTGTGATCATTAATGGACAATAACGTGTTTCTGTAATCCAATTACTATTTCAAGTAACGAGTAATTAGATTACCGTTACTTTCTCATAAACAGGCTGCGTAACTGCGTTACTAAACCATGATTGTTTGTGAGAGTGTCTCATGACAATGACATACAAGCGTGCAACGTCCATGGCAACAACAAACGTGTGTAGATCACCAATGGATAATATGGAGCACGGGAGAGAGTACGACCGTGCAGCGCTTAAAGCTTGGAAGTACTGACATTACTTTGAGTTTAATTTAATTTTTGCTTGATGCAGTGTGCATAAAGTTAAAAATTAAAACTAAGTAATCTAAGTAACTAAGTAATAAGTAATTAATTACTTTTGGAAATAAGTAATCAGTAAAGTAACAGGATTACTTTCTTGGAGAAGTAATCAGTAATTAGTAACTATTACTTCTTGCATTCTTGTGTAGGTTGTAGAAATAAAAGTAAAACTGTATGCTTATGCAACCTTCGGCTGTTCTTGGCCTCTGCACAGAACTGTGTATTTCAGCGTTCTTACCATTTATATTTGCTCCAATATCAAGTCTGAATCTCTCTTCTCTGAGAAATGACTTCATTAAATTTTCTGAAGTTAGTAATAAGTGCATTTCAATATGCTGAGTAAGAGACCAACACCTCGTAATTTTTCCTTTCAGCAACCAGACTGTTTGTGGTAGATGGTGAGCAAAGATTAAGATGAAAAGCTAAAAGGAGATTGAAATGCTAACTTTTTTTTTCCATGTGGAGAAATGTATTTTTAGTAAACTTAGAGAAGCTAAAAGTTTAGAGAGCACCTAAAGGTGAAAGATAAGAGCTTCTCAAGAGAGAAAGAAACAACAACAAAAAAAAGGAGAGAAGAAAAAATGTTTTTTTTTTAAAAACTGTTTTGTACTGCCCAAAACAAACTATTCAAGTATTTCCTCACCCAGAGTCTCTCCATCCTGCTGCAGACCCATGGACCACTCCTGCAGGATCTCCAACCTGGTCTGCAGCTGTAGTTGACAGTGCAAACTCCTCCCCCAGGCCTGCTGGAGCTCTTTGGCTGCAGTGAGAAGATGATCTTGTTGACTACTCCCTCTGTCACTGCCAGGTTGGGTCTGCACATGTTGCAAACTTTGATCTGAACCCCACTCTTCAGTTAGTGGCTTCAGCACATTCAGTACTTTGAACAATGCTGCCAGAACCTGTGAGACACAAATCTTACTCTGACTCCAAAAATGTTTTTATTTTTGAATCAAACATCTGCTATTATCTGTTTCATTTGTTTTGTTACGTAGAAACAGTTACTTTTTATCATATCGATACTTATTATGTAAATGCAACCAAAAGCAATCAGTCTAATTAAGCACCTTGCTTTCTAATAAAGTTTGATATCCTCCTGCATGGGGCACTAGTTGTCCAGCCCGTATGGTTGCCCCTCCAACTCTCACCATCTGCCCACTCAGTGGTTCAACAAAGGGCTCACCCAGCAGGACTCCACCTACTGGCAGCACATCTCCTACAGAGGCACACAGAACAAGTTTGTCTGACTGAAGTTATGTACTCTAGAGTGTAACGGGAACTCCAGCAGCTCTAACCTGTGATTGGATCCAAGCTCACCCCGACGGTGAGCACAATGTTCCCTGTCCTGGAGTCCAGCATAGGATAACCAATCTGTATAGGCTGTGGTAAGCGGGTGAGAGGGCAGACATGGATTCTTCCCAGAGTGTAGACTAACCCAGTTTGGGGGTGAATGGTTACTGCCAGAATAGGTACTGGGACCCCTTTGTCAGGGTCTGCCATGGGAATCCCCAGCTGCAGTCTCTGGCCTGGTCGGAGGCCTCTGAGGTGAGTGCTGGGGAGAGGCTGGTCTGAGTGGCAGGAGGTCGGGTAAGGAATGAAAGGAAGGAGAGGACTATCCCACTTCCTGTTATCATCTGGAATCATTTAAAAACAGCACATAATTGCTTTTTAATGCAGAGGTCTCAGACATGTTTCATGAACCATATGAGCCCTTCTTCACAAATCTTTAATGCGTGTCATAAGTTATTTTCCATGAGCTATTTTAGCATAAAATGGTTATATTCATTTTGATTCAGTTCATTGCTGCTTGAAATGACCAGGATCCCAGTGTATTAAGCTTTCTATTTGTAGAAACAGCATGTTTTGGTCAGGTTGTAACATGTTTAACACAAATGATCTGTTCTTCTTTAGTAATTGTATTCTAATAGCACGGTTTTAAAAATGACTCTTGGTGAGTTTAGATTTATTCATCTCTAAAATACAAAAGATTGCCATTGGTGTTTTGTGTTTTCTGAAGGCATAAACACAAGATTGATTGATTGGGCGCTTTTTTTTTTTTTAAAAGTCTGAACTAAGTTCACATGAAATCTTTTTTCTTTGACTGTTTTATTTAGCATTGCCCTCCTCAGTAACCCACAGACAATTCATACCTGTACAATGGTCAGCTGTGCAAACTAATGTAGAGCTGGCAGGATCATAGGCCACGTTTCCAGCAATGGGCAGAACTCTACCGGTGTGTGGATGAACAAAGAAATTAGGCGGCACTGCCATCGTGTGGCCGCTGCTCAGCAGCACATGGCTTTGAGCATTTGGCCTTATGAGGCCTGTGACTGAATCACAATAAACAGCCCCAGAGACACGGACGGACCCATCAGGATCTGGAGTTAAGCAGAAGAGGAGATTATTGTGATCAATCATCTAAATAAAATTTTCATTTAAACCCATTCACACTGTTTGTAAATTTAAATCCACAGCCTTATGTGGCTACACAGCTATGTTTGATTTACAACAAAAACATACAGTGTATTTATTGGATACATCATCTAACATTTAGCAAATTAATAATGGCCTGTATTTGTATAGCGCGTTACTTAATCCCTAAGGACCCCAAAGCACTTTACACTACATTCAGTCAGCCACCCATTCACACACACATTCACACAATAATGTATTCTAACCCAGCTTTTCTCAGCCATAGTCATGTTGCAGTTCACCTAATAAGCAGCAGATGGTGTACTTTCTTTAAGAAACAGGCGCAGATAAACAAATGAAAGAGTTTTGACTCACCAAAGATGTCATCTTTGGTAAGGACAGTTCCAGTATCAGGGCACAACAGTTTGGCTCCTATACCTTCGCCCAACAAGCCCCAAGACCCCTGACGGTGGCACTCTGCCGACAGTAGATCTCCCATCTCATCGACCAGTGATGTTAACCTCTGGATCAAACTGAAGATGGGAGACAGAAAATTGAATATTCAAGGGAATTTAAACCCTTAAACTCTAAGATTCCCCATTACTACAGTCATGTGGAAAAAGAACGTTTTCACAGGACTCTATGCATGTGGAAAACGACATACATCCCACAATTCAAAAGTTTGTAGAATCACTTTTTAACCTGAATAAATTGATTATTAATAATTGAGTATTCATTTATGGACAGCTCTTTTAAGGTCCCACCCTTGTATTTCACTAAGGACTTTGATTTGCTAACTGCACCGCCTTCTTTTCTTTTTCATCCAATTTCTTGTACCTTTGCTGCTGCACTGAAAATCATTGTCCTGTTATGTTACCCAATTTCAGCCATCTATGTTACCATCTAGAGTCTACTCAAAGACTGCAAGTTGCCTAGATCCTGTTGGTGCAAAACAAGCCCAATTATCACCCCTCCACCCCTGTCCTTGACAGTTAGTATCAGATGATTGTGCTGATATGCTGTGTTTGGTTTCCACCAAACATGGTGATGAGCATTATGTCCAAACATCACTACTTTGGACTCATCAGTCCAAAGGACAGTCAGTCAGTTCTATAAATTTTAATTGTGCTGTCACAAACTTTGAGGTCTGTAGCGTCTGATATGTGGCTCCTGGGTTTTTTGGTCAGACCCTGGGGTGAATTTGTTGGGACCTCCACTGTTGGGGTACTGAGTAAACACACACCTGGCTCTTTCTTTTTCACATGGCTGTACTTGAAAAACTGAACAAATGAAAGCTTTACATTTGTTGGAACAGTTCAGTGGAAGTCTGGTTGTTACTATAAAGCTTAGACAGTAGTCTGGTGCACTCTCTGAGCCGAGATGTGAACACACTGTGGATCCTCCACTGGGCCTGCTGCTCTCGCCTCAGAACCTGAAGAAAACCAGTCATACTTGATCATGTATACCTTGCTAATGCAATAATTTTACATCTGAAAGTATATACTTGTTGAGCGATGCTATCTAAATATACTTTACTCAAACTGATGCTACACTTGCTATTAAAACTTTTGTTAAAAATTTGAATATAATTTGACATGTATATGCAGCTTAATAAAATGTAAACCTTCAGCTGACTGTCAAGTAGTGTCCTCAGCTGTGAGGCCAAAGATTTTCGTCGCACCACCTCTCGTTCAATCTCCCTCCTCAACATCGCATAACCTTCCCCCGGCTTTTCCTCAGCGATCATATGCGGATGGAGTATTTGCAGTTTCCCAAGCACTCCTTGGTATAGCTCTTTTACCTAGATGAACACATATTTTGGAGACAAAAAGAAAACATTAAGTGTTTGTCATAAGCAGATAATCTATTGACAGCCCAAAGCAACAACCACACATTTAAATAGCACTAGTGAGAAATGCAAGCTGCAAGAAGTGCATCAGTGCAAAATGTTCCATCTCCACTTACATCTTTAACACCTGAGCTGTCCTGAGGGCTGTAACCAAAATCTGTTTGCTTTTTTAATAACTTAACTTTTCCAAACATTCCCAAATTGCTCTTTCTCAAATTACACAAAAATAAGATTCTCTCTTCCAAATGTTCACTACAGCAAATATTCTGTTTTGGCAAGAGATGGTTCCCAAAGCGTGCTGGATGTAGAATGGCACATGTATGCTGTGAATTCTCCACAAAATGTGCTGTTCAATGGGGCATTACTGAAAGTTTGTACTCGGGAGCTGTTAGGTTTTCCAATCAGACTGAATCAGACATTTGTATTCTTCCCTGCAAAGAAGCTTCATTTTAAAAAAGAAAAAAAAAGACACCTGAGGGCTAAATTATTTATTGCCTATTCATAAACCAATAATATAGGCATATTCAATATGCAGCTTTTATTTTAAGAGTGCAAAAGAGAATACTCTTTTGCCTGGTGTGTTTCTTGAGAGAATAAGCATGAGTGTGTGAGTGAGACAAGAGAGTAAGCGTTTATCATTTGACATGCTTTGTGATTGATTGGCATTTAAACTAACAGCAGCAGACCTCAGTGGTGAGCTGTCCCAGTCGTGTAGTGACAGACAAGCTCTGCTTGAGCAGGAGGCTGTAAAAGGTGTTGCTGTTGAATGCCTCCAGATCCACCTGGTGTTCATAATCCCAGAACTCCTCCGAGGCGTCTGTGGAGGCTGTAAAAAAAAACATCGTCACAAAGAAAAGGATTACAACAATATAAAAAACTCATCCAACTTATTTCAAGGTGAACTTTGATAAGTTATAGCATTATATGATCTTTTGAAACACATAAGCATGTTTTGCAACATCCTCTCTACTGTTCATTTACAGACACACAGAAGCCTTGCTAAACATTTCACATTTTACAAGCATGTAGCAGGTACTTATTTCTCCCTTTTAACAGGTATTTTAACATGAAAATGTAACATTTTGTGGCATAAGAATTCATTTTAAATGAAGTAATAAGGTCTTGAGGGAACTCCAGAAGTTCCCTAAAGATCACTGATGTCCATGGACAAGCTGTTCCTGGCAGTTCCTAAAGCTTTTTCAGTTATTGTGGAATGATCTGTCTGCCCATGTTACGTTGCTACCCCTTGATTTGGGGGGTATTTTGGTGCTTTTTAAAGCACTTTGTCAAAACTGTGTTTTTTATAAGGGCTCTATAAATAGATTGGATTGGATGTGGGCTGTTTTGATTTTACTATCAAAGAGAAATCAGGCATGTAAAGAGGGGTTTTTTTCAGCAGTGTTTGGTTGGAAATTTCACCTTAGGGTCATTGCCGGTGCTACATGAGATGTTACAAGGGTTCTCAATGTGTCAGTGTGTCGTTTCATGTTCATTCAAGTGCCATATGTGTACACTCTGCAGGTGCATTAGTTGAAGTGGAGAAAACCATGTTATTTATGTAATGTATTGGGCTTTAGGGTTTCGACGAATGAGTAAAGTGTCAAAGTGTTTACGTCTACAATGTTCCACCTGGCTGAATGGAGCCTTGAGTCGTTCTCGATTGTTGGTTTCGATGAGTCTTTCTCTGTGAGATCACCCTTGAACCTTTTGACGAGTAGTCATCCATTTGGTAGGCCAGCTGCAGCGAGCGGTACCGTGCTTTGATTGGCTCCTTCTCCGGCCATCCATATTCACGAAACAGGATCTACATAGTACAGACTCATCAATTAGAGTGATACTTTTATATTTCATATATACTTGTGTATGTAGACTAACCAGCATTGTCACACATAAACAGAGGATGACCACAGCTCCAAACATTATTCCTACGGTCACCAGCCAGTCTGGCCGGAGTAACAGGTTGCGTCTCCTACTGATTCCCAACCTGGTCACGTGACGTGGGATGGTAGGGAAGAAAAAGCCAGGCTCATAGCACTGGCCACCCGCAGGCATCACTCGTACATACTGAATAATGAGAAATAAGTAGTTAGAGTATCGTGGCATAGCAGAAAGAGAGAGAGAACTTACTATTTACTTGTTGCTACATCAAGGAAGTTATCGTGTTTGGCTTCACTGATTGGGATTTGTTTTTAAACGACCTACATTACATTGTATAAGAGAGGTAAAGACGAGAGTGCAAGTAGGGTGGATTTATGACAGAAGGACAGCAGAGAGTTTACAAGATAGTAGTGAGAGCTGCTATGATGCACATTTTGGAGACAGCGGCACTGGCAAAGAAGCAGGAGGCCAAGCTGGAGGTGGTGAAGCTGCTCAGATTTCTGTTGGGAGTGACTAGAAGGGACAGGATTGTAAATGAGTACATCACAGAGAAAGCTTAAGTTCAGCATCTTAGAGACAAGATGGACATGGACATGGGCATGCAGAGGGTTGATGTGACGGAAGAGGATGTAAGGGATAGAGAAAGTGGAGCAGCCAAAAGAAGAAGAAGACTTAAATTTCCTTGTTTGATGGAACAAACGTGGATTACCTAATAGCTGTTTACTAACAAGGTGTAGTTGCTTATAACACTATAGCTTCATGGGGTATGCTTAAAGAATACAGCTGCGGTCAGAAGCTAACATCCACTCATCATGTGCATAAATGTCGTGGCAATTTGGGCTTTTAATGATTTCTTTGAACTGTTCTTTTCCAGGGTGAAATAACTGTACAGCATACATGTTTAATGACTTTAAAAACGAAGAATCTAGTGCACAAGCTTGAATTTCTTTTGGATTATCTCTAATCCACACAGCGTCAAAAGCAACATAAGACTTCAAATATGTACATACACCCACACTACTATTTGGTTCATTGCACCTGAAGCTTTTGGTAGCCAACAGCAATCATATGGCATTTTTCCCTCTGGATATTTGACCTCTCTTCTTGGCAGAATAGTTAATTTAGACTGGTTGGTTTCCTGTCAGGAACAAGCTTTTAATATATTCTACAAATGTTCAATAGAGTGGAGGTTGGGGCTTTGGGAAGGTCATTGCAGAAGCTTAATGTTAGCCTGCCTTATCCATATCAAACCCAGTTCTGATGTGTGTTTGGGGTCATCAATGGAGCACTCGACTCCGTCCAAGTTTCAACCATCTAGCTGCTGATCTGAGGTTGAAGACCTTGGAGGTAGTCCCACTCTTCACAATCAGTTCAAAGAAATCATTAAAAATCCCCAAAATAACCATGACTATGATGAGTCCTTAAACATCTGAGCATAACTGTGTATTTTTGTAAAGTTTGTTACCAAATGTTTGTGCTGATGGCTGCTCGGTGTAAAGACATATACTCCCGGCTGGCTAAAGACCACAGCAAAGCAGCTAGGAGGAGTCCATGACAATGTCAGCTCTTCTTTTAACTGTCTGAATGCGCCCCAGTCAAAGTCAGTGTTTGTGTTGTACAAGTTGTCACTGAAAGACATAAATAAGCGAGTTGGGAGAAAATGTACAAACAGAGAAATGGCAGGAGAAAATGGGCATGAAAACAAGTATCCGGCTTACATGTCATACTGGGGATAGTGACGTGGGCTGACAGTGAAGAGTATTACATCACCCAAATGGAGACATGCTGTCGGGTTCAAAACGCCACTTATGCTTGGCCTTCTTCCTTTTCCATTAATATCAGCCTTATCTCCTCTCTCCATTTCTGTGTCTCCATGACTGATATTTCTAATACTGACATAATGTTTCCCTGAAAATCCACAATGCGGTGCCCTCATTATTGCAGCAATTACTTGGGTAAAATTGCTCATGCATTCATTTGTGTATTCATGATGTGAAAAGATTGTTTTATTATGGCACACCAGCTGAGCTCTGAGAATCCTGTTGAGCGGTGTCAGGAAACAGTCGCTCAAGTTCCTTTGGGAGGCCGCTGAGGAGGCCAAGGAAGCCTGCATCTGCAATCAGACAGGAAGAAGACAGATAGATGGGGGGAGGGTTCTCAAAAAGAGAGAGAAAGAGAGGGAGAGCTGCAAAGCGATAAAGTGCAGGACATAAAAGGCATTGTGTGCGGCTGCATCTCCACCTGTTGTTTGAACAATGTAGACAGGACGTGATGACTGGATCTGGCTGCTGCACTGCAGGTTCCCTTGGGAGTCCCACTGTTTAAAAATTGTCTCTAGCACACTGCCAGAGACGCTCGACACCTGAACACACACAATAAGTGTGTTTGCCATTAATAGGTCACTGCAGCACTGTCTGCAGCTTTCTCTTTTGGAGAAATAAAGAGGTTTTCGCATAGATGCGTGCATATTATACCTAAAAACTGTCCATCATATGATAGTTTCAGTGCAAATGTTACATTATATAGTTATCGCACAGTTTTTGTGCTTCAGTGCATGAACCTGCAATTTCCTTTCTTCACCTGATTGTCATAGCTCCACACCAGTCCCATTTCCCCATTGGTCTCGCACTGGAGCTTCAGTTCAGCAGCTGGCCTGCTCCTGCAAAGGCCTCCACATGCAGCTCTTCCAGGAGGCTCTCTACAAATACACAGGCCCAGCTCCCCATCAAAACCCCGGTAGTCCTCTGCAGTATGGCACACCTGCAGGAAAAAGGCAGAGCAAGAATCAGCTCACAGTTTTTAGTGGTCTCCTTTCTAAACAGAAAGAACAGTGAAAGCATTGCTAATGAAGTTAGAGTTTCATGCAGTAGTTAATGGTTAAATGCTAAGTGGACTTAATATGAGTCTGTGCTAGGTAAACTATTGTCAGGTTCATGTAAGAGAGGGCAAAGACATCTGGTTTGTACTCATTAGCCTTGCTTAATATGTTTAGTCAGTGTGTTCTGTAAACAGGCTGCAGTTTAAAACTGAACTTGTGTCACATATCCTGAGCACGAGTTTCCTGTCTAATGTCATTTTGTGGCGGAACCTTTGCCCTACTTTGACTGTATACATCTGATTATGACATGATTGCACAATGCATAACCTGCTGACTACAGTGAAATGACCACTGGTGTCTGTCCCGGCAGTCTCCATACTGTGTGCGAGTTTTTCCGTCTCTGCAGACATCGTACTGTTGTTGTACACATTTGTCTCCATTTCCGGTGGTTTGATAGCCGATGGTGCAGTGGCAACGTCCATCACTGGCCTGTGGAAAACTCAGGGGGATAGCAGTTCATGCTGTGGTCAGTTTGTTACCTAATATTCCAAAGTGCTCATTCATTCATTCCTTCATTCATTGACACACACAGACACACTGCACTTTGAACCTTACTACATATCAGAGTATTATTATTGCTCAGTCTGAACATTGATTTTCCTGTCTTTCCTTTTTTATACAACTGTATACACAAACACCGATATGACAGCGAGACAAATCTCATTTCTGTTAGTCTGAGCTGATGAAAGAATATCTCAACACCTGCGCGCACTGCAGTAGGCTAGGAAATTTGACCCTGAAGTGAGGAAACTTGATCAGAAGCTATTGAGCTTGAAGCTACAGATTGTTCTGTCGAATGCTTCAGAGGGAAAGTGAGGAAGATACTCTGCCGACTATAAAAGTGTTCACACTGGAACACGGCTTTCCTAACACAAAAAAATACAGGCTTGAGAAATTTGAGCTCTTCCTTGGGTTTCATTTATAATGGATGAACTCAAAAGACAATAAAGGAAGTGTGTGACAAGCGCTGTCGAAAGCTGTGATGTGTCAGATGAAGTCAAATGAAAACAATGGGGAGAACACATAGATACACTTAACCCACAATCTACACAAATACCCAGGTGGATCCTTCAATCATGTGAAAAACACTTCAACAAAACAAGCCAGTGAACAACACCTGAAAACTCTGTCCCTCTTCTGGACAGATGCAAGTGTCCTGGCCAGGCACAGGCTGCTGAGCCACTGGACCACAGGAAAGTGGGGAATACAAGCCGGGTCTAGGGCAGTAGTGATGGGCAGGACACTTCAGACAGCTGTCCATGGACACAGCTCCAGCATGTGGACCATATGTTCCTTTAGGACAGGGGACTGGAGCAGGGCTCCCCAGTGGGCAGTAGAAACCTAATAGAAACAATAACATCGTGTCACACACACACACACACACACACTATAAAATAAATCTTTTGCCATCCATTTTTCTTTATTCTCTTTATTTTTGCGTTGTTGTAATGTTTTCCAGAATAATGCCACTTTATTATGCACTCAAAACAGCCTACCTGGCTGACAGCGTGGTCTCTCCTGGTTATGTCCACTGAAGTTGTTTCCACGAGTCACAGTTAGCAGCACAGAAGCAAACAGCCACCGCAGAGAAGCTAACCCCATGCATTTGCAAGTTTGCTGCATTGTTAATATGTCCACCATTGAAGTAAAAACCAGATGAACATTAATCCCAACTCTATTCCAGACTGTGGAAGGAAAAAATGAATAATTTAATCCATGATCCTTGTTTTCATCATAGACTGGAAAGTACTTCTAGAGATGCTGCAAACCCACAGAGATGCAAGGTAAGTAGTGTGCTAGTTAATCTGCATAACTTTCAATGGCTTGCTGAAAAATTTATAAGGCCAGTAAGGTAAGGTGACAGTAAGAGTGGAGTGACTGGTCACTGGTGGAAAGCAGCAAAGAAAAACAGACTGATGCTGCCTGATCACATTACTGCTTTTGTTCTTCTCAATGCTACCATGATACTGATTAATGATTTGGCTCCTGAGGTACAACAACGCAGCTTTGCTTTAGAGGAGTCTACTGAGAACGAGGTGCGTCTCATCTAAGAGAGGATATCAATAAGATTTTTGTATAGAAATGCCACTGCAGATTCTGCTTACAGGTCAAATTCTTTATTGATTTCCTTATTGATTCCTGAAAAAATGTAAGTCTACATGGGTTTTCAGGGTCAATGCAGCTTCATTATCTCTGAGTTAAAAACAGCGTGGAAACACAGAAGAATAAAGGCTTCCCAGAAACTGGGTTGTACAAAAGCTCCACTGCTCGGAGTTTCACGTCATTGTTTTGTGACGTGAGACTGTCAGAAAAACACACCAGCACTGATAAAAGGAACAGAGAATCCAGAATCCTGTTATTTCCAGAATCTTTTTAGCTTGCAACCAGTTCTCAAATACCATTCCCATTCACAGAGGCAACTTTTAAATTCACATAGTATGACAAGTATGGTATGGATAACTGATCAGATCAAGAGTCTGTCATTGTGCAAGCTTTAGCTTCACCTGCCGATGAACCAGTCTCACAAACCTGTCGAATGCTGTGTTGTCCGTGTGTTTACTTTCTGATAGCTGCTGCAAATTAGCTGAAAGTGGAATGAAACTAAGGTCAAGGTCTGTGTGGCTCAAAAGCGACAGATCATTTGCATCAACAAATGCCACTTTTATCTGTGAACTGATTAAACTGCCCATTGATCATCAGTAATCCAGGTTGTTGTTATATAAAGTGTAATGATCTGACGAGTTATTTCCATGCAATTTTATGTAATGTTAAACAATATCATCATTTTCTAGAAATATAAACTCGTGGTTATACATCCATGTGCCCTCAGCTCACCATATACCTGTGACAAGAGTCACATATGCTCAAACTCTTCAGTGCAAAGAGGAGCCAGCAGGTCCATTGTTGTGTACAGTAACCAAAGTCTTTCTCACTCTGTGCTGTTTTTGTAGTGAAATAGATACTGGACTTTAGATCATACGAATAACCTAGATATTCCACTAGGGTAGCCATGAACTATGATCTTCTGATGACTACTCGCAATTTATCTAACCGAGCAGCGTTCAACTTTCACCCACATACGCGTGTCACTGGTGGGAAAAGCCTGCACATTTCACTTACCAAAAAACAGTAAACATAGCCAACAAAGAACTGCTAAATAATATCACAGATTTTATTACCAGCAGCATAAAAATATAAAAAGCAAAAGCAACTCAAAAATTTAAAAGGACCTCCGTGCTGTTTACATGAGTTGTTTTTTTCTGTTCTTACAAGCAGCACAAACACTGATGAGTAAACTCTTCTCTGTCAAGCATCCAAAGCAATCCATGATAAACTAAAGCTTGGTGAGCTGGTCCAAAACGCATTTCGTTGAACTGTTACACAATTTAAAGACTACAAAACACACAACAAACAACTTTTCGTCAGGAATGATGCATAAAAAGCCATAACCTTGACTGCAAGTCAAACAAGTTACTCAGTGCAAATATTCACGTAGTCTGGGTTCTTGTAAAATGAGCTTTTGACGTAAAAAGACAGAAATCAGGCCAAAGTTCACATGTGTCTGCAAATAACATTGTTAAACTTGTTTGGGTCACCCTAATAAATCCAAACCCCTGCAAGAATTCAAGGTAAAATGTCCACATTTGGGAGGAATGAGACCTTTCCATGAACTATAGACTGACATTTACCTCTTGCATAGATTACCCAACTTTCTTCTTTTTTTTGCTTTTTAGCATGGAGGTAAGGACAAAGACATTTTAAGGCCTTTTAGAACAAAAGAATGAAAGAGGTACTAAGCAAAGAGCAAATTCTTCGTCTAAAATATCCACTATTCTTCATTTGCACATCATCTGTGCCAACCATCTCAACCTTGCCTCTCTAACTTTGTCTGTCAGTCTGTGATAGACTCATCCTGGTCATGTCCTCATTTTTGGCATCTGCAGCTCAGCCTCCTGTGAAGTGAATCTAAAAAAAAGTGCCACAAAAAGAGGTTGTTTATCACATGCATGTATTTGAATTCTGGGAGGAAGCCTGAGTACCTGGAAGAACCCATGCTAGCACAGGGAGAATGTGCCAAATAGTGCTAGGCGGTCGGTGGCTTCTCAGACTCAAACTCCAGCACACCCCTGTGCTCTCCTTTCATTAAACAACATGTAGTCATGCAATCTGAACTAGTTCATTATAATGTGAACTTTGAGCTAGCTGCCTCTTGTGCAGTGTAAACTTACCCACTGGGTTTGTAGGCTTTGTTTTTCCATTTTGATAATTACCCTTTTCTTGCTGGGGGTTGTAGCCATGAGTGAAAATGTTTTTACAAAAGGGGGTAGATGGACTGAAACAAGAGATCCTGTCTAAACTTTGCATGCAAACGCTAAGGTACAGCTGGAAACTAGCACTAGCGAGCTTGGGTGAAAAGGTTTTCATGTAATTCATAAAATGAACATCAGACTTCTTTAAGTATAATCTTGAAAGCTGCTTTTAGGTGCTCCAAATGTTATCAGTCATCTCCCGTGACAGTGTAGAAGGGGCAAAGGTACAAAACGCTGCCATAAATAGGCCAGGCTACACCTTTGTTACTTGAAATAATGGCTTCTCAATCACAAGGTAGCCACAACCTATAGCATACACATCTTACTTACATTTTTCTGCTATAAATCCAACTATAGTATGCAAATTGCATCCCACACTGTATTGAAATGAGTGTCTGAGACCAGAAGCTATTGTGGTATCAAATCAAATGAGAACGAGAATGAGTTCAGTACAGTCAGACTCTTTATTTTTTCTTTTCACTAGTGGAGTTAGGCTTTGCTGGCTATTAGGGTTACAAGTGTAATACACTTTCAAGCATTTGCAGACGTGAAGGCCATTTCTTCCGTGCAAGGTGTGTTTCTAACTTACTTTAGGCTTTTTTTCACTCAAAATTCCAAAGGTAGTAAAATTCTATCATCAGTGTGACCCTCCACGTGTTGACTGTTGACATAAGCAGAGTTGGGGCAGCTGCTCTGATAACAAGGACTTTATAAGTCAGATGAGATGAGCAGTCAGTCCACACACCCCTGATACTCAGGTAAAGACATACTTACATGCATAATGTGCTTATTTTTGTACTGGGAGAAGAATATATTGAAAAGTTCTTATAGTTATATGTTTTGAGGGTAAAATTCTAATATTTTTCTATCATCTGTCCTTCTACAGAAAGATGAACATGCATTTAAAAGTTGTAATCTTTGCTGTGTCCTTCCTGACAACTTCAGGTATGTTTATCTCCTCCTTTCCTCCTTTTTCTTCATTTTGCCATGTGATTCTTTATTTATGTAGATTTATGCTTTTTTTTTAAACTATAGGATACCCACTACACAGTGACAGCAGAGAGCCAACGTGGTCTGATGGAAAGACCAACCAAGCTCATGACAAGGCAGACCTCACAAAAGATTTGCAGTAAGTTGTCTTCATGAACGACCATATCTTCAGTGTCTAAAGACATATACAAATATAAATACTTGCTTATTACTATTTTGTAGCATATAACCTGTCTTCACACGTTATAATTCAGTTCTTCTTTCTTGATTTCTGCAGAAAGGTTTACAAGAGCAGCATAGACAGCAGTGCACTTTACAACCAAGAACATGATGACAACCCTGTGGCAGAGGAAATGCAGCGCAAGCTCGCCATGGAGTCGGAGCGCCTGCGCATCCGTCTGCGTCAAGAGCTGGTGGAGCTGCGAGAGAGGCTGTCCCCATCTTCGGCGCATCTCAGTTCCCGCCTGGCCAGCATGAGAGAACGCTTAACTCCCCTGACTCAGCAGCTCCAAGGCTCTCTTAGTAGCAACAGCCAAGATCTGTGCAGCCAGCTGGGTCTCTATCTACAGGCTTTAGAAACAGCTGAGGCTCAGGAGGAGGCCAGTCCGTCTCTGTATCAGGAAGCCTTCGAGTTAATCAGCCAATCCCTGGAGCACAGCAGTTTTAAGTTTGCTAACACCATCAGTGACTTTTATACCAAAGCAAGTGGAGTGATTGAACATCTGAAACAGACTAGTGATCGTGAAGAAGAGCCAAGCACATCAAATGTATGGCTGGAAATGAGCTCCAAGTTGGGACAGGAAGTGAGTTCACTTAAAGAGGAGGCACAGAACAGGGTGGAGGCCCTGAAAGTACAGCTTTCTGCAGTGCTACAATCTGCACAACCTTATACGGCAGAAGTGAGAGGTAGCATAGAGCAGTTCTGCCAAAATGCATCCGTGGAGGTCCAAGTGCTTCAAGCTCGAATGGAAAGGCTGTTTACAGGGCTGGAAAAGGAGCTTGGGGTCCCAAGAGCCTCTAGCGCGACTTCTTCTTCATTTACACTCCAAAGTGGCTCTTTGCGGGAGGACTTCTCAGTTAAGCTCTCAGCTCTGATTCAGGACATTATGCAGTCAATGCAGTGACTACAGAAATCTGTATTCCTTTTCATTTATTTGTTTGTTTGTTGCCATTGTAGCAGCACAGTGAGTATGTTGTAAATATGTCTGAAAGTGTGAATTTGATGCATTTGTCTCATTCTGTATGTGACCGGGTGAGGAATTGTCAATATGTATATATATGTATATATATGTATATATATATCGCTGTCTTTTGAGAGTAAAGGTATTCATGACACTGTACAAATGACCCTTTCTTTCTGTCAATTAATTATTGCATGTCAGTCACAGAGTCTCTGAGTTTCTTTGTTTGTTTGTGTTTATTTAAAGCATATACTTTATTTGCTTATAAGCAGTTGAGATTCTATAGAAGACATCTTACAGAAAAAACATCTTGTAGACAAGTATAATCAAAATTTATTTCTATTGCCATAAAATATCAGAATTACTTGTTTTTTAATTGCTTTACAGTTCAAGTTTGACTTTCCCTTCACAACTGACAACTAAGTATGGATACAAAATTATATTTAATAGGATGAAAACTACAACATTATCAGATTTTACCTCACAATCTACAGCACTATGCAGCTTCAGCATTGTACAAGGTGACAATGCAAAGAGAATTGGCTGGTTGATCTGTCAGTCCAGTGCAATTAAACAGCTTCAGAACAAACCAGCCACCAAGACCCAGCAGGACAGCAGGCGCACAGTCAGGCCTGTCATGTTATGGCCATCGCTGCCTGAAGTCACGGTATTACCTGATGCACACAAGAAGAGATGAATTAAGTTTGCTTTTTGAATTATGAAACAATATTAAGATGTATTTATGAGTCTAACTAAAGTATACTCACTGTCTTCTGCATTGGGAGAGTCTTTAATAAAGTAAAAGAAAAACGGAAAGTGAGAAACTTTGTAACTTAAGTATTCTTGGAAAATCGCAAGAAAAGAATAAAAATATGTTTCAAACCTTTAGCCATGTAAAGAGGTCCGACTGAAATGGTAGTTGATTCGCTGCTTTCTTTACCAAAAGGAACCAAAGACCTTTTTCTTCTGTTATTAGCACAATTCTGAAAATATTTAACACAAAACATGTGGAAACTATGGATTTATAATATACATGTTAAGATAGGGATGAGCCTACAGCCCGCAGGGATTTAGTGGCCCAACTGTGAACCACAAAGTGTTGCTGGTGGAAATAACAATCTCTTTCCTGCCAAGTTCTATAAAACCATTAAGTAATATATATTATATATTATTAAATATTGTCTGTGGTATCTTTTCTCTACCATGACTTTATCTGCTGTTTCAAAGAACGCGCTCATTCTTGACTTTTCAACTTACTTGAAATTACCTGAATTTGTTGACATTTGCTAGGCTCACAGAGTCTCAGCATGCAGTGCACATAGATGCTGGACTTTGCCTGGTCATGGTGCTGAACAAAGCGGAAGGCCTCAAAGTTAAACCGGGCAACCGTGGAGACGCCATTGCTCGTCACAGTCGTCCTGTTAGCTATATTGCAGCTGGTGGAAAGTGTTTTTTTTTTATTAGAGACATGAAAATATCTTAATGTACAGTTACACTGTGCTAGTGTGTGCTTTCTTACCCAGTGAAGAAGTCATACTGCACGCTCTGTGGTATATTGTAAGGAGTTGGAGTAGCAAAACAACGATCCAAGAGTAAATTGAAACTAAAAAAAAGACAATACTGAATCAACAGGAATGAAGTCTGATGAGTTCGTTATGAGCATCCGAAAGGCATTTACTTACTTTTGTGTCAGATTATCAGCCTTGACCTCCACATATAACTTGGTTCGCAGCTCAAGTCCTGTTGGAGGCACCACTAACGGATAGTTATAGTTAGAGTCCTAGAAAAAGAGTGTCAGAGTAAACCAAGTCATTAGAAACACATCTGATTTGTGTCCTCATGAGCTGACTGATAATTTATACCTACGTTAAAAACACTCATTTTGAGTGAATCGATGAAGGTCCCATTATTGTTGCTGGTTGCCACAGAGACTGAGGAGCTAGAAAAATAATTGAAAACATGCAAAAAAAGACAGAGAAAGATATGGTAACTTTTAGATTTGCTGTATAAATGCGCAATAAGAAACACATCTCTGGAGTAAGTATATCTGGTTCCTCACGCTGTAATCTGTGTATTGTTCAAAAGGTATTGCAGTGGATATCGGCAGGAGAAGTGGTAATAGAGATCTGTGGAGTAGCTGATGAGCCCCTGGTCAGATCTAGGTGTGTTAATGTATCCTGTAACAATAACTGCCTGGATACTCGAGAAGCTGCTGAAGGGACCTGAAGGGTCTGGCATTTCATCTACAATCTAAGAAAGATAGAAAGAGATACGATTGTGGTTCATATATGCTGCTAAACAGTTTCCCAAAAAGCAGCCAGATATCTAACATCTGGCAGCTCCATTTTCCAGATATGTGTCATTTTTTGCCAATCTCTCCATTCTCCAATATCCAATAACCTGCAGAGACTGGCGACAGGAGTTATCCTGACTCTGGTTGACAGGAAGCTGGAAATGGACGACCGGAGGGTTCACACTGGTGTCCACAGAGCCCTGGCACGCTGTATTACTGTACTGCCCATTCAGTGCTAGCTCTGTGGCATTGAAGCCAGCCCACTGAACTGTGCATAGGTTGATGTCCAGGGTAATCTTGCTGGTGCCACATTGAACCATTAGGTCTGAGTTTTCTGCGAAAGAAAGAAATTTTAAAAACCCTGGGAGTTAAATAGTTGTTTAATTTTATATATTAATAATGTGATTTTTTTTTTAATTAAAAGGTTAAATGATTATGATTTAGTGGCTGCCATGTTTAAAGCCTAAATCTTGTACAGCTAAATAAATATCTACCAAAATTGGTCAAAAAGTTTTAAAAAGAGCATTATTTTTGTTTTCTTAATAGCACTGATATTTTATTTGTTGAAAGTCACACAAAAAGTACCTGGGGTCCTTTGATATTCAGAGGAGCAGTTATAGAGGCACCGAACAGGCTGCAAAAGCATCACCAGCAGGGGGAGACAA